CCAGAGACAAAAACTAGATCCAGCGTGTGTCCACCCGTGTGGGTGGGGGTCTGAATTAACTGGGTCAAGTCCAAGGCCGTCATGGAAGCCAAGAACTCCTGAGCTACCGCCGACGTCTCGCCCGCTGATGGAAGGTTGAAGTCCCCCAAGACCATAAGTCTGGGGGTTCCAACCGCCACCCCGGCTATCACGTCAGCCATTACTATTACTATTAAAGATGGGTAGAGGACCCAGGGTTGATATTTGTTGGACCATGTCTTGAGACCCTTTTCATCTGCTGATGAGCATTCAAGTACGGCTTTCAGGGAATTATCCTCAACTGTCATTTCATCCCACCTATATTAACTAGGTTGCTAATCAGTATGCTATGGGGCAGCTGTGAAATGCTTTGCTGAAGTCAGAATAGATCATGTCTATAGCAATTTCAGAATCTATTAAGGAAGCTATCCAATCAAAAAATGTCTTGCAAGACTTGTTTTAACTAATTAATGTTAATCAAGATACTAGTTGGAATAAGAAAATATGAACGCGGTCTATATACATAAAAACACAATTACTGTCATGTGAAGGATTTTTTTGCCCAATTATTTCACATAGAATAATAATAAAAGTACTTAAGAGTATAAAAGTGCGCGCACGTGCACACACACACACACACACACACACACAACTTTTGAATTTCTGGGTTCCTTTTCACACGCATGTGTATCAGTTTGTCACTGCAAGTTCCCAGCTGACTTTAGAGTTCTCAGCAGGGCTATTCTATTGGTTGCAGAAACAATTTTGGTTGACCTTCTTTCTGAATTTTTTCACTTATTGCAGATCCTTATGAATACTGTAACTTTTAAGAATTGCAATGTGATACTCTATATGTTGTTCTTCCTTCCTCACCTTTTTTTCCCCTTTTAGTCGGCTGCTGGCAGGAATTTTGTTCTTCTTTATTCAGCTTATGGTTTGGGTGGCTTTTCAGCTGAAGTGGTCAACAACATACAGTAGTACTAGAGATAAATCAACAAATTATGTGGCTAGGACAGTGGTTCTCAACCTGTGGGTCGGGACCCCATTTGGGGTCGATCGACCATTTCACGGGGGTCGCCAAGCAAGGCTGTCCGCCATTTTTTTTGTCTGCCATTTTTTCCCCCTTTTCCGGTGGGTGCCTTACCTCCCTTGGGCTGGGCCAGCTGGTGGTCGGCCTGCCCCGTCTCTGCCGCTTGCCAGCTACGCCTCGGCCGGCGCAGGGGGCGGAACCACGCATGCGTGGTGCTCCCGGGCAGAGAAAGTCCTCGACTTACGACTGGTTGGGTAGTCCTCGACTTACAACTGGTTTAGTCCTCGACTTACGACCGGTTTAGTCCTCGACTTACGACCGGTTGGGGTCACGGCATTAAAAAGGTTGAGAACCACTGGGCTAGGACTTTCATACCAATGCAGACACAATCCATCCCAATGAAACAAATTCAAAGTCATCAAGTCAAGTGTTGAAACATTAGAATGTGGTCTATGTGTATAATCCAACCTGGAGAGAAACATGAGGATTTGAGTCTCAAAAATGAAACTAACTTGTTCCCAAAGGTACTACTGCTCTGGAGTTGATGGCAATATAGTAAATTATTCTATGCTTTATCACTGAGAAATGGATTCATGTTCAGGGTGAGTACAGTGACAAATATGCTACAAGCCCCCGGAAATGCATTTACAATTGAAACATCAATTTGTTTTTATTTTTATTAAGTTTATGAGCACATATTTAAGGCCAGAAAGCCACACCAAAAAATGACAGAATCATGAAATAAAATAAAATAAAAAAAGAAGTCTTTATTCTTTTGGCTCAACTGTAGTGTGGCTTACCGTTCTTTATGGTAATAGAATTTTCCCTGCATGCAGTTCACCAAGACACAAAGTCAACAGTTTCAGTAAAAGGAGGAATTAACATTTAATTTTTCTTTGTGGATGGAATACAAAAAGAAAATGTCCTGATGGGATCAGATATACAAGTTAGATACTTAATTTTGTGGGAAAAACATAATCATTGTGACATTGCGTATAATATTT